CGCGACGGTGCCATAAATGTCTCAAGTTGGCAAATGCCAATCGAGCCTTTTGTATGCGCGCCGACACTTCATCTGTCATGCGTCCGCCAGGTGAGATATAGCTGCCTAGATGGCAAAATTTGTCTACTTCCTCTACTACCTCCCCAGTTAGGGTGGGACTGGGTGCTGGATCAACCCAATCTTGTAGTAGCATTGTTCACTGAGTTCGGCTAGTGTTTGAACTGAGAAGCGGTGAAAGGGTTCCGCTCCTTAGGCTGTTTAGTAACTGTCGCTTAAATTGTACTGTGGGCATCCCCTTGCGAGGGAGTGTTTGCGGTCATTTACCTGGCGTAGGACGAATCCGGCCTGTAGCAGAGCACGGTCCGTGTACATCGATGTTGACCAGGGAGAGCGGCAGTCTGGATCATTACCGTCGGTAGCTGATGGTCGATTTGAGTCCATCGTTGTGAAGACTTTCGCGGTTTCCATGTAAGGAGGTGGCGTTTCTTGTGGGAGAATTTGGTTTTTGACAGACCCAAGCCGTGGTCAGCACAAAGTTGAAGTAGGCGTTCTCCATTGCCCGTCCTTTTGGCTGTGAATGCATTTAGACCGCCGAAAAAGTTTCTAATTAATTTATTAATCCCAATTGAGCGACTACTATGATGTCCGTTGACCGAGCACTTTGGAGCAGTTGAGGTAAATCCTCGTAGAATTCATCCTTCATTTCAGGTGTACTGCAATCTCTTGGTTCCTACAGGGATACGATGCATGAACGCCGTTTCTTCGTTCTGTAGCTATTGACATGTTTTGAACCGTCGAGACATAGCGCACAGTAGGCTACTGACTGGAATCCAGTCAAGAGGTGAGCGTTCAGCCCTGGCACTTTGCTCAATCCCAATATCAACAACACCGCAAGCGTCGAATGCCGAGTTGTCTGCCACATGAAGAGTAAAGCGTGAGGATAAAATGATGATGAGGATGAGGTTGGATCTGAAGAGGGCAAGGTTTTTTTATTATACACCTAAGTGTAATGAATAGCAGACGAGGCGAACCCCATAGTCACGACAAACTGCTGTTCAGTGTTTGAAACCGGCAACCTAAGCCCCGAGACTTGGAGTTGCGAAACACATAAGGCCCCTATAGGTTAGACCTGGTATTGAACCGGACGACAACAGAGCTGCCCTACCACCAAAGTCGAGTGGCGGTGGCGGGGTTCAAACCTCGGACCATAGGGTCCAAAGCACGCCGGTGACAGCGACTAAAACATTGTGCCACCACCACCTAATTGAAGTTTGTTGTTGTGTACGTATTTCGGAGGCACGTCATAGGCGTAAAGTCGAAATTTCATGGGTTCTAATCTTCTCGTTACTCTTCCTTCCAAATGGGCAGTAGTGTGATAACAACCAAAACCGGCCACGAAGGTGCATAGTTATTGGTTATGAAAAACCGGAATGGGAACTCTGACCAAGGAACTTGGATATTTTGGTAGGGTGCCGCGGAATTTCAGTTTTTTTTTCACTTTCAGTTTTGATCGCGGATGATTAGAGACACTGACTAGTATGACTGAGTGTCGTAGACAATGATCGTCTCACTTTTTAATAATTTCCTCCGAAAAAAATAATTGACAGCACAGGGGGACATCAGCCAAACAAGCACACTAAAGTGCCAGTTGAGTTGAGCCGTTGTACAAACAAGAAACNGGAAGACGGGGATCTCAAAAATGTGTATTTTGGTGGCGGACGCAGGTGCAGATCAGACTACCTTGACGCGGTCCACCAACGCTCTAAAACGATTACCGAAATTCTCCCATATTGTTTTCAGCAGTCTGTTTTATGTTACCAGTCAGAAAGAGTTCGGGTTTGCTATAAAAACAACGTAATCGGTTGTTCAACTTTATAGTAGGTCTAGTGAATAGATCTACGTTTCGCGTATGTCTAACGGTCGCCTACCACACCGCGCCTTATTTGCAGTGGCTGCTGCAGACTGGAGAAAGCCACACGGAGGCCATCAGATAACGTGGAGACGAGGCATGAAAAAATGCACAGAGCGATTAGGTAGAGTAGGTGTCTCTCGTCTTCCGGGTTGAGGTCCAAAAGACTCAGTAACCGGACGATTGGAGGTCATGGCAGCAGACCGACAACAGTGGCGTTCTTGCTGTTACTTCTTATCAGATCAGAATGCTTGAGATAGTATGCAGGCACAGTTGGAGTGTGTACTCTGTGTTTGTTGACCATAGAGGTTCGCTTTCTTTTCCCGCCCCTAAAAATAGGCCCAATTTCTTTCATCCTTACACATTCTCACTAATCTTGTATGCATTATGAGTTTGGCAGCGATCAGTGAAGTTCGCTTCACTGTATTACGCTGTACAGTAAGAATAATCATGCTGAATATAACCAATAATTGAATACGATTAGTGAAATGAGATTCCTCAATACCTTAGTGATTTCTGATAATTTTGGGTTTGTTTCTTCTCTCTACCTTCACTCCGTTTTCTTTCTCTCAAAGACGTTCCGGTATTTTTCTATCAATGAACTAGTACGCACTAATCTTATTACCTTCGACTAAGCAAAATGACCAAGAAAAGCCTATATAAAGCGACGTGTTTGGCCGAATTGAACAAATTGGCATCCAAACCAGTGACTTTCAATTCCCCACAAGTCGTCCAAAAAACTATGGATGAATGTTTTCAACGTGCCATGCAGTGCCGTCAACGGGACGAAGAAGCTGCGTACATTTTCCTCATGCGCTACTTCGACTGTTACGAGCGGCTTAAATTCTTGGCCGGGAATACGGTGAAGGTAAGCTCCCGTCTCTCCTTCCTCTCTGATCCAAGCTGATTGATTTAGTCCAGTCTGTTTAATACCAACTTAAAAAGGCAAACACTCTTGGCAATGGACTATTTAGAGCGATTACACAAGAGCCTCGAAGAACGATATGAGGCGGTTCGTAAGGCCCATTCCGATCCGTTGCAACTTCCAACGCCACCCGGAAGTCCGGTTTCGGTGTCTCGTCCGTTAGATCAAGGTTTCCCCCATACCTTTCTTGTAAATTCAACTTTTTACAGATGTTACAGCTCCTCCGACGAAGGAACCGACCGGGTGGATTTCAGTAACCGAGCTGACCTCACAAATGCGAAAGAAAAAAGACACTTTATTGATCTTTGATCTACGCTCTGCAGCAAATTACGAAAAGTGTCATATCAAGTGGAATTCTATGATAAACTTTCCTGCTGAACAAAATCTCACTCGAGGGTGAGTTTATATTTCAGGCAAACGAGTCCATAATTGTATCAGGATACAT